GCAAAAGTCTTACTTTACCCACCCAACCCTCAATGTCTCTTTGTCATTGGTTGTTAAAGGTTACCACCACCGAAAATGTCAACGAGAAGTTCCGTCTTTGGATCACGACAGAGGTACATCCAAAGTTCCCAATCACGTTCCTACAGTCATCGATTAAATTCACGAACGAACCACCACAAGGTATCAAGGCAGGATTAAAAAGAACTTATGCTGGGATTACACAGGTATGTATGTATACTAAGGCAGTTCTACGTTATATAGTGAAGACTTTGAACTAGTTTCACGCTGTCACGCTGTAATAGAATAGACCTCCTCGAATCTGGAGCGCTCGAGCGTAATGTTGTCCCATTTCAGACCACGTGTCCTTCCCTTGAGAATAATATTCTTTTTTTTCAGTTGTATCCATATTCAAGTGTCTTCTCATGTTCAACCGAGCGCAAACCTTAAACTAAGAAATGATACTYTAGGGAATGACACGTGGTCTGAAATGGGACAACATTACGCTCGAGCGCTCCAAAAACACCTCTTGTCAGAGCCGATGAGGTCTATTGAGTCCAAGTGTTACACCGGTCACAGCACATAATGTTTATTCCTTAAAAATGCCAAGACATGGCACGGCACGGCACGGCACGGCACGGCACGGCACGGCACGTCCGCTGCGAATTTTTCAATATGAAATTAAAAAGAAATGGCGTTGCGTGACGTTCCAATAAGATCGTGACGTGACTTAGTTACTAACACAGGGTTTCCATAAACTTTACAGGATCAACTCGACATCACCAACATGCCACAGTGGAAGTCCATGTTGTACGCTACAGCTTTCTTACATACTATTGTACAAGAGAGAAGAAAGTTTGGCCCTCTTGGATGGAATATTCCTTACGAGTTCAACTCTGCTGACTTGACGGCCAGTGTTCAGTTCATACAAAACCATCTGGATGATATTGATATTAAAAAGGTTWGTGTCTGATAAAACTTGCTCAYGYCAAGGTTATCTTTATCCTAAGWGTCRCTGSCTTCTCGGTAGATTGGTGGCATCTAGCTTCTGCCTTTATCTCTCTTCCTCCACCTCCCCCTCCCCTCCCCCCTCAGAAAATAGCAGTGTCTTATACGTTTACTTGTACTTTCCTTTCACCACCCACTTACCAAATAAAGGTGTTATTTTTTAAATTCCCGACAAAAGTACCAAGGGAATTTCCTCACTGCTACGTCTTTTACGAATAGTTTATCTAAAACTCTTACTCTCCCTTCCCCCGTAGGGCGTATCTTGGACCACTGTTCACTACATGATCGGCGAGGTCCAGTACGGAGGTCGTGTGACGGACGACTTTGACAAGCGTCTATTGAATACCTACGCAAGAGTCTGGTTTGGCGAGTTCATGTTCTTGGACAGCTTCAAGTTCTATCAGGGGTATATTATACCAAAGTGCGCGCAGATAGCAGACTTTAGATCCGCGATCGAAGAGATGCCGTCTGTAGATACACCAGAGGTGAGACGATTATATTATTGTTGAAACCATATTACTTAACTTGCCAATAATAGACTTTCATAAGACTTGCGGGCATACATATGTAGTACAGTTGCGCTTGCCGTAAAATAAATAGAATGTAAAGCGGTTGCGCAGAAGTAGAACGGATAATAAAACCATTGGKTATAAGCTGTAAGTGTATACGATTTGCGCAAATGCAAGAAAAGATTTTGCGCAAATCGTAAATATTTTTTCTAAGCATGATACGTATTGTTAGTTGCGCTTTAATGTGTATAGATTGTTTTATTCATTGCGCACTTCATATTTTTCCCCAGGTGTTTGGTCTTCATACTAACGCAGACATCACATATCAAACCAAGACTACAATAGACACTCTAGAAACCATCGTTAATATCCAACCTAAAGACAGCTCCGGTGGGGGAGGGGAGACTAGGGAATCTATTGTCTTCAAACAGGCTAACGACATGCTTGAAAAACTACCTCCGGATTATTTACCTCATGAGGTGAGTCAATWTTGCGTTACTTTAGATGTTTGGTCACGAAATCAAACGTTAATGTCACGCAAATAAGGAACTTACGTTGTTATATACTGCCTTGCTTTTCAGATTAAAGCACGTTTACAGAAAATGGGCGCGTTGACATCAATGAACATCTTCTTGAGGCAAGAAATCGATCGAATGCAGAGAGTCATTACAGCTGTACGAACAACACTGATTGATCTGAAGTTAGCCATCGATGGAACGATCATCATGAGTGAAAACCTGAAAGACGCCTTGGATAATATCTTTGATGCGAGAGTACCCGCATTATGGAAGAAAGTAAGTAAAAAGTACATTTTTAAATTCTTAATTATGAGTACCATTATTATGCACAACGTTTTACGGGACCCACTGTTTACTTCCAACGATTTGAAGACTCTCTCATATATACCTTATCAATTGGTATTGTCAAGGCCCCCCTTTTTAGGGCCAGTAAAATTTCAAGGCCCTCTTATCCATACCCCCTTCAATAAATGAGGAATGTTCCCAAAGGTATCATAATTAATGATTGTTATTATGTTAATATTTCAGCACCGTTTTTCATCATCATCATCTTTGATACCTTTGATAATTGCTCATATCTTATTTATTTTACCATTAGATTTCTTGGGACTCTTCAACTCTTGGTTTCTGGTTCACTGAGCTGATTGAACGTAATGCTCAGTTCTCTTCATGGCTCTTTGATGGAAGACCAAACACCTTCTGGATGACAGGATTCTTTAATCCTCAAGTATGTTATACAATAAAACACTTATCATCTATCCT